GGTACCCGAGCGCACACTCGGAACTCGCTACTTGCCTGGCTGTCAGTGCGCACGCGTGCGAAGGCAGTTTAAGAAGTGGGAGAGGCCTGGACGCAGGGGAGCCAAAGGCTGGCGGTGGGTTCAGTCCCGTAGGGCGGTAAAAGCATACAGAAAAAAGGGAGATTTTCACTTTTTGTTTTATGTTTGTGATAGGAATGTTTTGGAGTGAATATTTGTTCACATATTATTCATGTATTAACAAGGCTGGAATTAATCTGCACAAGCATTATCATTCACACTTGAAGGAAAATCACTTATACACACACACACGTAGAAAAGAATAGGAAGAAAACACATTAGTATTTTCATTGTAATTGTAAATGTGTAATAAGCTGTAAAAGCAGTTTTCTGAATTTTCTACATTTTCAACATATGATCATTTAATAACTATGCGAAATAAAGGTTTCAAAAGTCTTATCGTGAATTAAGTATAGATTCACAGAAAGATGTAAAGAAATACACAGGGAAGATGCTGTTTCCTTCACCCTATGTCCCCAGTGTGAACGGTCCATATAACCTAAGTCTCTTGTCAAAACCAAGAACAGAGCATCCAAAACACAGGAGCCTTCCCTGTACCTCACGCACGTCCTCTCGATGCTTCCAGAAACCAAAGGAGGTGGTGAATGTTGAGTTTAAGGTTAACTGAAACCCCCAGGTCTTTTTCCTCATTAACTTGACGCAAAGCCAAAGCTCTCTCACTTCTGGTCTATTTAATTAATTTTGGAATCATATTCTACCATGTGACATTCATCCTTATAAAAGTTTAATCCACTGTCCCAGCCTACTGAACCTATTTTGAACCTTGACCCATTGGACCAGCAGATTTTCTCCCTGCTTTGTGCCAGCTGCCATTACGTTGTTGGTGGAAATCCCGACTCTGATCCAACCCACAGCGGAGCCAAAGACCTGTTAATAAAGGCAGCCTCTGAGTTGATATCAGTCCATGAAATCAGTGTTCTTGGCTACTGTTCAACCCATGATAAGTCTGTTTACTTTTATTTTTTCCACTTATTTCTCCATCTTGTCTCCTGACACATCCTCTAGTAACTATCACAGAAAGACTGGAAATCAGTTTGGAATTGATTTTGAAATCAGGCCTGACACTGCTAGTGAGCTAAACTCCTGGATAAGATCGTTTTCCACATCCTTATAGGCACCAACTGGATATGCCCTTTTCAAGTTTTGCTGTGTATTTCCATGTCTCATGATTCCATACTTAGCAGGATCAATGTCATTTCCTTATGAAAACAGGACACTCTGTCCATTTCCATTTATCTAGAACTTTTCTTCTTCTGTATGATTTCAGAGTAATCAGAAGTGTATTTCTGTGATATGATCTACGAATTCTTTTAACACCCAAGGCCACAAGTGATTTATCTCAGCTCAGAGATCTGATTTATTTACAAGTGGCCAGATACATCCTTACAACTGCCACCTACTTGGGGTTCCACGTTCTGAGGTCTATATTTTACTCTCTCTAATTTGAAGATTTTTTCTTCAGTGGAGAAGATAGATGCAAAATAGGAATTGAGAAGTTAATAACCTAATAGCATGCTTTTCAAAATAGCCTTTATGTGATACTGTGATTTCACAAAACTACGTGTGATAAATTTACATAGAGCCACATGCGAGCCACACACATACTCACGAGTCTGTGTAGAGCTGGTACCAGTGTCAGTTCCCTGGTTTTGTTTTGTTTTTTAAAGATTTTATTTATTTATTTTAGAGAGGAGAAAGGAGGGAGAAAGGGAGGGAAACATCAATGTGTGTTTGCCTCACAAGTATCTCCTACTGGGGACCTGACCCACAACCCAGGCATGTGCCCTGACTGGGAATTGAACCAACAACTCTTTGGTTCACAGGCCGGCACTCAACCCACTGAGCAACATGAGCCAGAGCAGTTTCCTGGGTTTGACAGTAGACTTATGCTATATGAAATGTTCATACTGGGGATGTAGGATGTGGATGGAGCAACTGGAACGCTCCTCCATGGCTCTGGGGAACATACCATGGTTCAACCCCTTTGGAGAACAGATTCCTAATTTCTTTAAAAGTTAAACATATGCTTACATATGATTCAGCTGCTGCTTTCCCAGCTATTTATCCAAGGGAAATAAAAATATATGTCCCCCAAGAGACTCACACATAAATATTCATAGTTATCCATAGTAGCTAATAGCCATAAATATCTCAAATGTTCACGGAATGAATGAATAACAAAATACAGCACTTTCCTACAACAGAGCACTGTCACAATAATAAGTAATGCACTGCTGACAGAACAATGTGGGTGAATCTCAAACACATCACACTGAGCCAAAGAATTCTGACACAGAAGAATACACACTTTCTGACTCCATTTATTTAAAGCAGGAGACCAGGCAACACTAATCTGAGGACAGACACCAGGACAGGGCTGCCTGTGGGAGATGGGGCCCAATCAGAAGGGAGGAGGGGGAAGCTCCTGAGGTGACAGCCACCTTATGCATCTTAATTCACGTGGTCGTTACAGGCGTCTCTACACTTATCAAACTCACTGAGGTGTGCGCTCAAGTTCTATGCATTTCACTTACTTGTAGGTCACCTTTACCTCAATGAAGGAAATCTTTATGAGACTTCAGAACAACCAACTTAGAGAGGATGGAGTATATTTTTTAAAACCAACTTTGAAAAGAAGTTACTGATGGTCAACTCCTTGGAGAAACTCAAAGGAAACTTAGATGAAGGCAGAGGAAACCATAATGTTCCTGGTGGAGTCAGGAGTTAGAAAAGTGATTCAATACCTATAGGCAGGCATTCACTTGCTGATCCATTCTGGCCAGAATATTTAGTGACTAACACTACCGGTCAGGCACTGCCTTGGGAGAGACCAAGCCCTTGTCCTTACTGAGCACATACTCTCTAAGAGAGATAATAAACAAACAGGGTCATTATAAACAGGGCAATAAGGAAGTCCACAAGGATTCGTGATTGGAAGTCAACAAAAAGGTGGCAAAATCTAAAACAGCTCAGGGTGACCAGGAAAGGCTTCACTGAAGAAGTGTTATTTGAGTTGTGTCACAGAACAAAGGGCAGATGGCCGAACGCTGCAGGCAGACAAAAGAGAGAGTGCAAAGGTCCTGAGGCAGGAGGAGGGCGATGCGCTGAGGAAATGAAAGACAACCCGTGTGAGTGGTGCTCAGAGAGAAGGGAGAGTGGGATGGGGTTGGCTTGGTGAGTTGGGCGGAGGCAGGAAGGACTCTGAGTGACCGTTTAAGACAACAGCAAGCCACGGAAGGGCTTCCAGCAGGCAAGTGACATGATCTGCCACACGGAGGAAGATTTAGAGTGAGGACAAGGCTGAGAGCAAGACCAGCTAGGAAACTACTGGAGTGGGGCTGACAAGGGCTGACGGTGACGAGGACCAGGACGCTGCACCAGAGATGAAGAAAAGACAGATTTTGGATGTACTGTAGAAGCAAAACTGATGGAACTTGCTGTACACGCGTGTGAAAAATGAGAAAAAGAAAGGACAGGCAAATGGTGGTATCTCTTACTAAGATGAGAAATTCAGGGCAGAACAAGTCCAGGAGAAGATCAAGAGCTTCATTTTAAGATGCCAACAAATCCAGCAAGTGGAAATGCCAGCGAAACAGTTGGTTACATGAGCCTGAAGTGTAGGAGAGAGGTCTGGGCTAGAGAAGCAGTTTGAAGTTACCATCACACAGATGGGGCTGAAGCCAGCAGCCCAAAGGAGCTGTCCCAGAATGGGTCTCAGGAGAAAAGAAGTGGGTCCAGGACTGAGCCCTAGGGCACCAGCTGCCCTAGGGCACCAGCCATTCAGAACTCCTGCCACAGACACAGAAGGAGCCCTGAGGTTCAAGGAAGCAAAAAGACAGCTTCCAGGAGCCACCGCCACATCCTCAGTGCCCAGAACATCTTCTGCTTACAGAAGTCTGAAATGCATGAACAAAGAAAGGGTTAGGGGTGTGGGGTTCAGAATGAGTCATGCCAAGATGTGCCTCTGTGAGAAACTTCTGGCCCTCCCTTCACTGCCTGGATAACTTGAATTAGAGGGCCTGCCCATAAGAAGAGATTACCAGAGATAACCTCTTTTGACCTATGTGCCAGGACAAACTTCCATCTACCGAACACCTGGTTCTCCCTGCAATGATCCTCTGAATCCCCAAGGCACCTTACCTCCTCCCTAGTTCAAGATATCTTACTTACACTATGGTTTCTGTCTCTGAACCGCTCCTGTCTGGGGGAGGGGAGGGTCTCTAACTCTATCATGTATGTGTGATTCCCACACACACGTATGCATTAAATTTGGTCATTTTCTCTTGCTAATCTGCCTCATGTCTATTTGATTATCAGACCAGCAGAATAACCCTGAAGATACAGAAGAAAGGTTCTCCCTCCCCCACAGGGGTGGTACCCTGGCCAGAGGTTGCTGAAAGACGCAATGGGAAGAGCAAACAGGAACATCAACGGCGTTGACTCTAGAACATAGTTAGAGCGATGGGAACCAAGTTGGGGCACTTCCCTTTGGATGGACATCAAGACGACCACTGACCAGCAATGCAGCCCCAATCCCATGATGACTCACTCACTTGGCCCACAGTGGCCTCTGTGACACATGCGGTCACGCCTTACAGTCACACCCCACTGAGGTCTTCCCATCACTGACTCCTGAAGTGCCGGACCTGCCAGGCCAGTGAGTCCATGGCCCCTATGGGAGATGTGAGGAGGCTCCACTGCCTGGCTGGCGGATTCCAGCCGCATCTCCACCTGAACCACCAACACCCTTGGGAAGGGAGAGCATTCAGCTACTTCCCAGCTCTCACCAGGGAGTCCCGCCTGCCTCCCCAGCTACTGGTCCCGCACCTCAGCCACCACACCTGTTTCCATCCTCTCGGTTCACGGCACGCTCACCAAAGCTTTTCTCCTGAGAGGAAATAAAGAAATCAGCACAGACTCACCAGGAACAGTTAGCACAGATGGGGATTTTTCAGGCCATTCATTCACACGGCTGCTGTTTTGAATCCAGAAAATGCTGACAGGCTCTGGTGGACCCACGGCCTGACAGGTGAGGTTGAAGGCAGTGTTTCTGGTGACGTTCATGCTCTCAGGCTGCCTGGTAAAGTGAGGAAGTCCTGCAGAGAACGGATTAACAGAAGGAATGCTTCCAATCCACAGGCAAAGGCAGAGAGAGCCCTAGGGGGAATGGAAATTACCAGAACTGGGCTACCTCAGGTCCAAACCCCAGTTCTCACCTGAAAGCTGGGTAAGAAAGAAAACAGAGGCTAATCTCCATCAGTCTAGCTCCAGCTGACCTTCCAGGACACTTTCCCAAAGGGCTTGTTATGGTGACTCGGAACTGGTTTGACCAGCAGAGAGGCCTGGCTGGTTGGAAATCAGGCCGTGCTCACACTCTGTGGGCAGGCCGGCAGGTTCAGCACTCCTCACCAGAACAAACAGTGAAAAACCAAGCCACACAATAGGTCTGCTGCTTTTGAGGACAACCTACTGTGTGTGAGGCTGCCAGATGGGTTACATGAATTTTAAGTTCTGTGCACGTGTGGAGGGCTGAACGCCTTTCAAAGCACAGTCTTGTGAAAACACTGTAGATGCAGTTACACAGCCACAGCCCTAAGACCTCCGACTGGAGTTCCAGGATCAAGGCCGTGAGGAAAGGCACTTCAGGAATGTCTCAGAGGAACGCAAGCAACTCACTTATTTGGGACGTGTGCCAAAAATGCATCAGGTGAACTAACTGTCCTCACACATGGAAACTGTGTTCTTTTGGGACTGGGAACTCACGGACCTACCTGGTCCCAACAGGAATAATGTAAAGAGGTAAAGGGAAAACATTTTTCCTGCTTCAAAGTTTTGCAAAACTCTATCTGGACCTAACATGAACCTGTCCGGGCATTTTTCTGAGATTTTGACAAGTTAAATGTCCTGTAAATATTTTTCCCAGATAAACAGCAAATGTACGAGCCACCCCTACCCACAATGCTGAAGTAACACTAGATTTCAGTGTGGAATGGCCCAGAACAAAGCTGTAAGAGAGACTGCTGAGGGCCTGCCTCTCTCAGGCCTCCTGCAGCATTAGTGCCTATACGGTGTGTGTTTATAAAAGAATGGGTAGCAGGAGCCTTTTTGTGGAAGATGTTTCCAGTTGAATTTCCCCGAAAAGCTATTCACTTGCTCTACAGCCTGTATAAATGAGGGTCCGGAAAAAAGGGCCCTCATAGGAAAGAGAGGTGTTCCCATAGTCTGCCAGCACGGAACCCTAGGGGGCAGCACCTGGGTGGTGAGGAGTGACCACCAGGGTGGTCAAAATAAAGTCACTTCCTCCTTGAAGCCTCCCTTGACAGACCCTGCCATTGCAGAACCAGGCATGTAAACCTGGAGACCCAGGAACCTGGGCTCACTGGCTGGCTCACTTGTGCATTCCCCACAGGAGTTCAAATTCCTTCAGGGCAGAGACGGCTTCTCCTCATCCCGTGTCTCACTTCTCACCCCCACTGAGCCCAGCTCCTCTCATGGCCTGGAACTGCACAGAACCAAGCCCCGACAAGTCCCAGGGCCCTGAAAAAAGGCCTGGCCGAGCTGTCGGCCCTGTCCAGGGAAGCCACTCACCCTCCCTGGTCTCACCGCCCACATACACAGGTCGGGAAGAGATGCTGGATAACAAGCAAACTGCCACCTGACCAGGTGAGTGGCACCTGGTGCCAGCACTGAGAGCTGGATAATGACATGCATTTGCTGTCTTTAAAAAAGTCATCAACTCTCTTTAGTGTATATAACCTCAGGACAAAAAAGCCAATAATCTCTTTAATTTCAGGCCTATTGCCTAGGCTGGAGCTAAAACTTTAACAATTGAATTCATTTCATTATTACCTAAAGACTAAAAAGAAGATTGGCTCATATAAACTCAGTGCTTCTGGATCTGCAGCATTTGCAAATGGAGTCATAAATGGGCCTGCCGCACTGTAGAGTACTACAGGCAAAGCAGTTAATACTGGCCACTCTGCCACCTCTGTACTTACGTTGTACTTCAACGTAGATGGGGTCAGACACAATATCTTCGTTGTTTATGTTCATCTTACAGACATATGACCCACTGTCTGAATGCTGCACGCTGGTTATGCTTTAGAGAAAACACATGAAGACATTTACAGTCACTACCCTTCGAGCTCCAATACAGAAACAACATTCTTCAACTTCTATGACATATGCTGTGATGTTAACCTTACATATAGACATGGCTAGGTCATGGTGCCTAGACATTTTGTCTAACACCACTTTAGATGATTCTGGGAAGGTAGCTTTCCGATGAGATTAAATTGAAATCATCAGATTCCAACTAAAGCAGATGACCCTCCATAATGGGGGTGGGCCTTATCCAGTCAGTCGAAGGCCTATGAACAGAGACGGAGGTCCTCTGAAAAAGAGGAATTCAGCCTCCAAACAGCCTTGGGACCCAAAACCGCAGTAGTGATGCTTCCATGGGCATCCAGCTGACATCCTGCAGATTTCAGATGTGCCAGCATCCAGAGTCATGGTGGCCAGTTCTTGACAACAAATGACTCTAATCCCTATGTTACTGGTCTTGACTTCTATGGTAGACTCCAGTTGGAGTGCTGGCCCTTCAAGGCATTTTGCAAATCTGAAGTGTTGTTTGGGTGTTCGCCATGGCTTTTGGGGGCCAGGGGCAACTGTTCCATATCCCAAATGACCCTCTGTGATCAGAACACATTTCATTATATATACACATACAGAATCTTGCCTCGTTTTAACATTCACCTCATTTCTCAGAAGAGCAATTATCATGAAAAGGGAGGGGGGTGAGGGGGTGGGCCGGCACTGGCCCTTTGGCCTGTTTGGACTTAGCGGGGACTAGGTCACCATTTGGAAAAGGCATCACTGACATCAGACGGCTGTATCTGCAACAGCCACATGGAGGGGAGCGTTACAGGGGGCAGGGTGCAAGTCTCTGTATCGCTGGTGTGGCCACGCCCCACTTTAACAAGTTCACATTCATATTCTTTTATTATAAAGCAACATTTTTTTTGTTTTTCTTGTATTATAGCATGGACACTATGTTATAATATATCTGAGAGTAAAAGATGGCCTTGGCTCTAAAAGGCTAAGAATCCTGCTTTCCACCTTTCCAGTGTGTTTACAAACAAGAACTACACAACATAGGTGAACCCTACAGTTTGTGGGCAGTGGGAAGGGTGAGGGGAGGAGGGACACTGTGAAATGCTCTCAGATGTTCTTCCACAGAGGGTGCTCTACTCACCCTCTGCTCATCAGACACAGCAAAGACTGTGGCTGGGGGAGAAAAAGAGAAAAGGAAAACATGGAGGGGTCCACATACTTAGCAGTTTACACCTGATGCAACTTATTTATCCAAAGCAAAATAAAAGCCACCCTTCAACTGGTCAGGGGCTGAGGCTTAAGGTTCAAAAGAGAAGAGGAAGCTGACAAGGTCAAGGGGGCCCCACCAACCTTGGCAACATTTGGCAGCCGACAGAGGGTAACATGGCGCCATCAAGGCAGTGAGGCCCCTAGGGCTTGAGGGGCCACGGCTGCCTTGGGTCAAACACATGGTTTTCAGAACATATACTGGACATTTTAAATACAACTTCCCTCCAACAACATCATTTTGCAAATCCCCATTGGCCTATGCTAAACATAGCAACTAAATTCCATGTCCAGTGTGGTGTCAGTCCGAAGCAGGGGACCAGGCTGCTTGGGTTAACATCACCTCCATATTGCTCCCAGGACCCAAGTATGTGACTGTCACCTGTCACCTGCATTTCCTGATGGGCCAATGTGAGTGGCACCCCACTGACAGGATACTCTGACTTCCCCTTTCCTTTCATGCTGTGTAGGAGAAAATTAATTCTTGAACACACCTGATGAATGAATGTTGAATGTGGAGAGGACCCAGAGTGAAGGAAAGACCAGATCTCTCCATGTTTTAGGGCAGGAGCTGAATGTCACAATGTCCAGAGGTCACCAGGAAAACAGACAAGACAGAAAGAGACCTCACAGGACAAGTATCTCCACATAAGGGGCTGACCCTCCCCTGGTATCTCCCTGGATGTCATGGTGACAGGAAGGAGCTGGAGAAAGAGGGAGAGAAACGTGTCTGCCGTGGTGTCCTGCCCATAGTAAGTAAGTTAAGGGGCTGGATGGTGCATCCTGGTTTTAGCAGCTCCTAAAAACTCTCCCCAGCTGACTGGTCAGTCTAGTCTTCTTTGCATTTCCAAGGGAAACCAAGGTTCATAGCTACTGCAGAGGGAGTTCTTTCCACATGGTTCACAAGTTCACTTTACAAGATGTGTCACTTTTTTCAGGCAAGACCTGGGATTCCATGGAGTGGAGGACAAGATCTGATAGGCTGAGGACACCCATGCCTTGGGACCCCAGTGTGGCAGCAGGCTTGCCAGATGCCACGAAGAGCCAGCAACCAGGAAGAAAGTGACAGCCAGAGAGGGATGTAGTGCAGGACCCCAGGAAGGCACCTGAGGGGGATGCAGAACACACCCAAGTAACCACCAGGCAGCACACCCTGGGACACAGAAGTCAGACTGCACAGAACGCCCAGGAGGACTTTCAGCCAACCAGCAAGGAAAATTCAGGTCAGGACTAGAAAAGGGGACAGAGGGAATGTGACCAAACTGTCTTCAGTCATTTGTAGACGAAAAAGGGGGTCTGTGGAAAGTAACTTTATAGGATGATCTGATTCTAAATTCTTAACCAGCTGGTCATGGTTGGTAGGCATGTGCCAGGTATATAACTTTTAGTAGAAGGTTTATCTTTGCCTTCAAAAAGCATTGTGTATTGTTTCTGTGCATCCAGGTTAACACACCTTAGAAATAAACTGTGACCACCCTCAAGATAGCACATAGTCTTGCTAATTATCCCATAATCCCATCCCCTCCTTGATTTCCCTGTCCTTCACGTAATCTTCCCTCCTTTGCCTCCTTAATTTCAAATGCCTAAAAGAAGCTGTAAAATTGTTATTCTTGGGAGCATTTGAGATCTTGCTCCCAAGTTTATGTCACCTGTTTGCCTCAAATAAATTCTTATAAAAATTCTCAGAGTTCTGGTAAAGATGGCTGGTGTAGGTAAATGAAGCACTTGAATCCTCCCACAATCAAAATTACAACTAAACTACAGAATGGTTATCATTCAGACCACCTGATATCTAGCTGAACATAACATAAGTCCTACAACTAAGGATATAAAGAAGCGGCCAGGGAGACAGGTAGGAGGGGAAGAGACATGAAACGGGCAGGCCCCACACACACATGGCAGATAAAAACCAGGAGGGATATCTTGGATGTGGAGGTCCACCCCCTGAGGAGTGAGGCACCCCAGCCCCACACCAGGCTTGCCAGCACAGGGTTCCCGCGGCAGGAGAAGAAGTCCCCATACCCTCTAAAGACCAGCAGGAATTGTGGCTGAGTGAGATGCAAGGATTCTGCAGCCCCAAACTTTCCTCTTAATGGGCCTGTGCATGGATTTACTAGTACTCATGTGCTCTGATCTCAGTGCTGGGGCAGCAGGAACTATTGGGAAGAATGGAAGTGTCTGGCATCAGGGCAAAAGGTGAAGAGATAGCTTGCTCCCAGACAGAAGTGCTGGCAGAGGCCATTGCTCCTTTTCTGGGCCCTCCCCGCACAGATTCATGAGGCAGGTGTCAAGTATAAGTCTCCTTCAACCTAGCTAACACTGTTCTCCCCACCCTGGTGATTTCCTGAGACCTCACCCCATCCAACATGGGGCCCACATAAGCCATTTCTAGTGGCTTTTCCATACCAATGGCCTTGTGTGACTCATGCTTTGGACATTCCCAAACTCTCTCAAGCAAGCAGCATCTGGCCTCAGCATATCCCATATCTCTTGCTAAGAGGCCCCAGGCCCAGCACCAGTGGCAGCCAGGAAGTTTGCAGCTTGGCCTCTCCAGGGCACCTTGAAGCCCAGCACAAGGAGCAGCCATTTGCAGATAGCTTTGTAGATTTTGCCAGGTGGCCGTGGGTAGGGCACAGGCAGTGGCTGACCTTGGTTTGCACTTCTGGGATGTCTCAGAGCCACTGTAACTGGTGGACCTCAGACCATGCAGGACTACCACTCGACCACCTCTCCAAGTGACTCACTCAAGAGGGGGGACTTGGCAGGCACCAAAGCCCCACTGAAGCATATCCTGTTCTGTGAGGTTAGCCCCTACACAGCACTCCTCCACTGTAGTTCCAGCCAGTCCTCATAGCCAATAGACCTGGTGGTGAATCCGTAGTAGCGATATGCCAACAGTAATGAAGGCTCAAGTATAAAAAAGGGTGCACATAGCCTCTGGGGGTGGGGGAAGGAAGGGCCCACCTGCAGCCCTGCCTCAAGTTACTTTGGAGGTTGGCCATTGGGCCCTACAGGACACCTTTTGCATAAGGCCACTCTACTAAAACCAGGAGATCTACTAGCTCTACCTAATACACAGAAACAAACACAGGGAAGCAGCCAAAATGAGGAGACAAAGAAACAGGCCCCAAATAAAAGAGAAAGCTCCATAAATAGAACTAAATGAAATGGAAGCAAGCAAACTAACGGACACAGAGTTCAAAACGATGGTTATAAGAGTGTTCAAGGTACTTAATGAGAACTTCAACAGCATAAAAAAAAAGAACATAAAAAAACATAAAAAAGAACCAGTCAGAAATGAAGAATACAGTAACTGAAATGAATACATTATAGGGAACCAACAGTAGAGTAGATGAAACAGAGGACCAAATCAGCACTTTGGAAGATAAGAAAGCAGAAAACACCCAATCAGAACAGTAAAAACAAAAAGGAATCCCCAAAATTAAGATAGTATAAGAAGCCTCTGGGACAACCCCAAACATACCAACATTCACATCGTGGGGGTGCCAGAAGGGACAGAGAGAAAGCAAGGAATTGAAAACCTATTTGAAAAAATAATGACAGAAAACTTCCCTAACCTGGTGAAGGAAACAGACATACAAGTCCAGGAAGCACAGAGAGTCCCAAAAAGTATGAACCCAAAAAGTCCCACACCAACACACATCATAATTAAAACTCAAAAGGTTAAAGACAAAGAATCTGGAAGCAGCAAGACAAAAGCAGTTACCCACAAGGGAGTTTTCAAATGACTGTCAGCTATTTTTTTTAACAGAAACTTTGCAGGCCAAAAAGGATTGATGTGAACTATTCAAAGTGTTGAAAAGCAAGGACCTACAACCAAGACTGCTCTACTCTAAAAGCTGTCATTTAGAATCAAAGGACAAAGAGCCTCCTAGATAAGAATAAGCTAAAGGAGTTCATCACAACCAAACCAGTATTACAAGAAATGTCAAAGGGCCTTCTTTAAGAAGAAGAAGTAAACAAATGATTAAAATATGAATAATAAAATGGCAATAAATACACATCTATCAATAATCATAACACTTTAAATGCAAATGGGTTGAATGCTCTAATGAAAGACATACAGTGACTGGAAGGATAACAAGAGTCTTACTTCATATTGAAGGGCGCACAGAGACTGAAAGTAGAGGGGTGGGAAAAGATATTTCATGAAAATGGAAACAAACAAAAACGTGTGGTAGCAATATTTATACCAGACAAAGAATATATAATTTAAAACAAAGGCTATGTAACAAGAAACAAAGAAGGACTTAGTAATTCCACTTCTGGGTATTTATCTGAAGAAACCCAAGACACCAAATCAAAAAGATGCTAAATCAAAAGACATACATCCATATGTTCATTGCAGCATTATTTACAAATAGACAAACTATGGAAGCGACCTGTGTCATCAGTAGATGAATGGATAGAGAAATGGTGCATGTGCACAATGGATTATGCCTCAGCCATGAAAAAGAATGAAACCTTGCCATCCGCAATGATATAAATAAACCTAGAGGGTATTGTACTGAGGGAAATATATCAGACAGAGAAAGACAAATGCCATATAATTTAACTTATATGTAAAGTCGTAATGAAAATAAATGGACAAGCAGAACAAGAACAGACTCATAGACACGGAAATCATTTTGATGTTGTCAGATGGGAGGGGCCTCAGGGGGATGAGTGAAAAAGGTGAGCAGATGAAGAAGTTCAAATTGGCTGTTACAAAATAGTCACGGGGATGTAGTACAGAATCAGGAATATAGTCCATAATGTTATAATAATTACGTATGGCATCATACAGGTACTAGATTTATCAGGGTGATCACGTACTTACATAATGACTGGTCACTGGGTTGTAGACCTGAAACTAATGTAATACTGAATATCAACTGTAATTAAAAAATAAAACATTATTTAAAGTAAAAGAAAATTCTCTACAGATTTGGACAGTTCTTATGCTGACACATCCGTGTCAGGAAGAGCTTAGGGGTAAGAGAAGGACTGTGTGCATCAGTTAGCAAGTCCACATCCGTGGCATCCTTGCCCTACAGCAAAGGCCAGGTTTTTCACAAAGAACCCTAAGTGTTATTTCCACACATTGAGGAAAGGCTCCCAAGCTGAAGGCAGGGGAGGGTGGGCTGGAGGCAAGAAGGAGTGGTGTCCCCGGGGCCCTCCCTGCCTGCAGCAGCAACAGCGGCAGTCTCCATGCAGACTCAGCAGGAAAGGCTCTGGGCTCACAACAGCAATGTGCACGTTCCAACAGCCAGGAACTGTCCCAGCGAGAACACAGAAAGCGGGGGCATGATTCAAGAAAACGCCCAGTCCTGGAAATCTGGGCCAGCCCTCAGCAGGCCCCTCAGTGGGCAGCACAGTGGGAGAGAAAAGACCTACTCAGGGGCTTCACCAGGGAATGTCACAAGCCCGAGGCAAAGTGGAGATCCCAAAGCTTCCGGAGGAAAGAGAAGCAGGTCATTTACCCATGAACCAAAGTAGCAAGAACAAATTTGAGAGTGAAAAGGAAGTATATTGATGACCTCCAAGTGACAGCAGGAAATTATTCTGTATCACACCAAATTCCCTAAAGGTGAGGCTAAGAAACAAAATGGTGTTTTCAGAGATGCAAGCCCCAGGATGCCAGTGAGGATGGGTTCAATGCCAAGCGAGGGAGTGAATGCCAAGAAGGGGCCTGGGCTCCTGGGAGCAGCAGCTGGGAGTCAGGAGGACTGAGGGTCCCCGTGAGGAGCACAAAGATGGCTCAGCTGGGCCCCAGACCACAGCAGGAGAGGGGATGGCTTTCGGACAGGCGTTGCCAGAGAAAAACTCAGGCTGATCATTTTGTGACTTTGAGGAGAAATGCCTATTTTCATGTAGAGTTCAGAGAAGTGACTGAGAAGTGATTTTCTAAGTGATTGATGCTTAGAAAATTAAGCAAACTAGCGAGCAAGGAAACAATATTTACTTCAGGGAAATAAAAATGCTAAGAAATAAATGTGATTACCATCTATGACATGATTCAGCTGAAAGCAGCATTCATACAGCCCCAACGATGTGAGCCACGGGTACTGAGTCACCACAGCTGCGAGGAACGCTCTATTAGCTTAGTCCACACGCTGGGGCCTGGCACACACTCAGCCCAAGCACTGAACCTCTGGGAAGATGCCCGAGGAATGGGTGACTTCAGCTCCCCATGGGCAAAGGGTTGGAGGTTGAGTGGGAGAGAGAAGTTTTGAAGAGTTAAAATATTCTACTACATGAATGCACTGCTTTCAAAAAGGTATAAAAATCCCCTAAAATTTTGGCCAAGTACAAACATCTGAACCAGGTGGAGCCACAGGATGTATACAGATCGGCCATGGCGTCTACACAGGAGCCACCTGGACAGACCACAGGGCAAGCAGCTGCAGAGCCTGTCACGCCATGGCAGCCTTGCCTGTGCTGGCCCCAGAATGTCCTCAAGGGACAAGCAGTGCCTCTGTGTCCCTAGGACCTGTCCTACCTGGGCTAGGTGGCTCAGAAATGGCTCTTATGTAGCAGGTAAGCTCTAAAGCCTTCTTAAAAGAAATACAAAAAGGACAACTATTGTACATTTTCACTTATATGAGGTTCCTAGAGAGGAGAAATTCACAGAAAAGGAATATAGAACGGAGGCTACAGGAGGTGGGGGAGAGGGATGGGGAGTTAGTGCTTCCCGAGTGAGGAGTTTCTGTTCCGAAGAATGGAAATGCTCGGAGATGACGGTGGCGATGGCCGCACCACATGTGAATGTGCTCAATGCCACTGAACTGCATGCTTGGAAAGGGTTAAAGTGGTAAAGTTTACTTACATATATGTCACCATGATTAAAAAATGAAAAATATAAAACAATTTTAAAAGAAATGCAAAGATGCACTGATATGTGTCCTGTCTACCTGTCACAGACCAAATGGTGCTGGTGGCTTGCCTCTGGTTACTGGTGTGAAAAGTCTTGTCTAAAGTGAGCTGAAAGAAAGTCTCCTGAGTATGAAGCAGGTTACAGTGTCAGTGATCTGTGGCCACTGGTAACTTTTCCAGCTGGTGGTTTGACTTAAGAAATTGTGTCCTTGTTTTCTACAGATGTTTTGCTACTTTGTCATGTATGATTCCATTGGGGGCCACCAGAAGCAGCAGGTGTCAGACCTTACAGGGCAGCTGTGGGCATGGGTGTGTCAAACACCAGCTGCTTAGGGTTCAAGAAACCCACAGGGTACAGGAAACCCAACTGACCACTTCACATCTTCACAGAGAAAATCGACTAAGAAAGCAAGGTCCTCTCAGCTTTAGTGATGGGAACCATCAAAAAGCCCTCAACTACACAGAAAACAAACCACAAAAATGTTCCCTTTGCCAAGAAATCACTGATCTGTGGGCCTACCAGCCATAGGAGCACCAGCTCCCATTTTGCTGAGAGCTGCCTCCCAGTCGCTGGGCTGATGGCCAGTGCCCCCTGGGATGCTTCACCTGGAAGGACACATTCCCAGCTCAGCACCAGGTCACTCTCACACCAGGCCCAAGAGCTCATTATACCCAGGGGGGCTACAACCAACTGGAAAGAGATCTTCCATGCAGACTCTCTGATACTAGTCTACATTCTGCATGGACCTGTGGAGCTGCAAACACAGAGCAGAGGCTGTTCTGTACTGAGGAGGCCTTTGTTTTAGAACCATCAACCTCAGAATGTTGAAAGAGAGGGGAAACACGTACCTGAAGGACGCAATCACTGCTGTGGCTTCCTCATCTGGATAAAAGTGAGTCACTGCATGATGTGCCCCAAGCAGCTCCTTCCCATCTTTCCACCAAGAAATATGGGTGTCCTGGTACGTGTTAGGTATGCTGATTGAACAGTTAAACTTGACATCTTTGTGTTCAGAAAGTATTATATGGCTAACTGTGTGATCAAATGCAAGAGGTGGTATGAGCTTGGAGCCGGCTGAGGTCACGCTGGGAAGGGCTGCGTTTCCTGTGTGGGATCTTCCAGGGAGAACTACTGGCAGCACCATAAAAGGCTGGGTCCCATTGGTGGGGGGAAAGGCAGGTGGCACAATGTCAGCCAGGTCTCCTGGGGATGGCAGGCTGGGCATGGATTCTTTCCTCTCCTCGGCCAGAGCTGCAAAACAGAACAGCGACTTTTAGCCTTTTAAATATACTGGAGTTCTCCAAGTAGGCTCTCAACTTATGAGGCTCCGATGAGGGAGAAGTGGGGCACCCTCACTGCCCTAGGAACGCACATGCAGGAGGTTCAGAGACAGAAAGTGAATGTGGATATAAAAGACTTCCTGAGCAAAGGACAAGGAAAGGGGCCTTGGGGGCTTCAAAGGGTGGGACGATAAGAAGAGTGTCTGCTTGGTAAACAGAAGTTTGTCCTTCCCTACAGATAAGTTAAAAGAGGTTATGGCTGATAATCTCTTATTATGGGTTAGGCTTCTAATACAAGTTCTTCTAGGCAGTTGAGAGGGGCACAGTGACCCTTGAGCCTGGAAGAGACTAAAGTTGTCTTTAATCCACATGCCACAGGCACATTTTGGAGTAACTTCTTCTGAACCATACACCCCCATCAAAGACATTTTTTTTTGTGAGTGAGTCATCCCCAAGTCCTTCTGTTGCCAGTGGAAATTGGGGTTCTTCCATGAAGTTGCAAGAAGAGCATTTCAGGGATGCATGCATGGGAGAATGAGGGGTAGGGGTAAGATTTATTGGAGCTGGCTAGCTTAGTCTCCGTTTGCAGCTGGCTGGGCCCACGTGGCTGCAATGGACCTGCACTTGGAGCGTGCAGCTACGGAGAGGGAATACAGCAAACAGGTGAGCAAATGGGGCAATGTGTGCCCCCTGAGAGGGTCCTTTGTTAAGCTTTGATTGTATTTCCTTGGGCTTGGGAAGGGATAAGATTTCTACTAAAGTAACCAATCTCATTCCTGGTTCTTCCCAGGATTCTCTTGAGTCCTCCCTCTATCCAATTTCTTTCCTAGATCTTCTGGATGTGAGGGTTTCATGCCCTCATCTAATCTGATTCTCTTCCCAGATTAGGCACCTCCCCTTCATGGCCACCATCTTGGCACCTCCTGTGCATGCTCCTAGGTTGACACTGAAAGGCTGGTCCCTCCTCCCTACGATGAGGGTGTTGGGGGGTAGAGGGATGCCAATCCCCTTGGTGGGGATGCAGTCGTTCCCTGGGGTGTCTGAAGCTGTGACTTCCAGACTGAATCAGGCCCCAACAGTTTATCTTTCTCTTTTATTATCTCCTAGCTGCCCATGCTAACACTTCATAGCCTCAAGAGTATGGCAGGAAGGTGACTGCACCGGAGATCACTTTCTATCTGCCTGGTCACAAGACTGTGCCACAAATCTGGCCAGCAGCCTTGGAAGGCTTCTACTGGTCACAGAGAGACCCATCCCTAGGTATGCTGGCAGGGAGGGGGGTTCAATGTATCCTCATGTCACCAGCTACAGAATGACTTGGGGCTTCTAGCAAAATGCTTGCCAGCTGGAATGGACCTAGAGAAATTTTCATTTCATATGGCTCATAACTATTTCTAAAATTATAGCCTCATAATAGTTGTACTTTTTGTTCTTTTAATGGTGTTTTTGGAACATACATTCTATGCTGGTTGCTACATATTCAAACACACTGACCATAATTCTGCTGAAACAGGCAGGTAGGAGAAACACAGGACTGGCATTCTATAGGCAGTGACTGAAGTACACCAAGGCCCTGATCCCTGCTCGAGGGCTGTGCCTCCTGTCATGTTCAAGATATCACACCCTCCTGAGCTCCTGAGTGCGTGTGTGCAGAGTGGAGTGGTCTCTACTTAGGGTTGTTCCAGATTTAGTAAGAATGTGCAATGCCAGACTTGACTTTGGGAGATGAACAAACAATACAACATACAGATGATGTATTATAGAAGTGTATACTTGAAACCTATATAATTTTATTAACCAATGTCACCCTAATCAATTCTATAAAAATAAAAAAACACAAGAAAAAAAGAAATAATTTAAAAAAAGAATGCATGACACCCACTTAAACTTGAATTTCAGATCAACGGCACGTAATTTTTAGTGTAAGTATCCAGCTAAGCACTTATTTGGTTAATTGAGCTACAAGCAGGAGACCTGGGGGCAGAAGGAGGGACCTGAGAATGTACTCCTCCGGCCTCCTCCCTGCCAAGTCTCTCTGGACTGCAAACACGCCTCAGCTGAAGGCCATAGTTCCAGTCACTGAGCCATATCCACATGACTTTCTCCCATGCCAGGTCTACTCCCCTGGCTGCTGCATTTGGGAACGTCTCAGGATAAAGATCAGGGTGGAAGAGAAGAGATTTCACTGGAAGGAACTAGGGAACACTCACTGCCTGTCCTTACACTGAAGTTTCAGGGGCTGTGGGGTACAGGGCCCTCTGCATGCTTTGGTGGAGGGTTGTGTGGGACAGCCTTGACCAGTCATGCAGACAGGTGAGTGTGCCGGGGCTGGGGTGTCCATTTATCCCAGGGCCAGGAGATCAGGGTGACTCAACTCCCCAGGCAAGCCTGACATGTGAGTGTGGGCCTGTGCTTCCAGTAGGAGGAGGAGAAGCCCAGTGCCTGGGGCCCTTCCAGCCCCCACCTTGCTCTGATTTGAGGTGCTTTCTGCAGTAATGAAGGCTCTAGCTGTTTACCTATGCCCTGCACACTCTTTTTCTTCAGTCTTTGAAGTCCTCCCAGCCCACCTCTGCCCCTTACACTGCAAACTTACCTCCAGTCCCTCCAACTCACTGAGCTCCAGCGAGCCAGGTTTTGCTCAAATTACTATTTTTTTCTTTAAATATATGAAACTTTCATAGAAGGCATTAAGTAGATTGAGGAAAGCAAACAATACTTTTTTTGGTTTGTTCAATTTACTTAAAAACACTTGACCTTTCTTATTACAAATGTCACACAGTCTGTTGTGAAGAATTCAAATATTTATAGAAGCATACATAGACAATATAAAATAGAAACCTGTTTTGTAATCCCAACCCTGCAATTTAACCTCTGATTACAGTTTGGGGTATAACCCTCGTTTTCTATGAGCAGAGCTCACTAAGCAAACTGATGGCAGGGCCTCGCCCATGCAGATGACGTCACTGGAGGTGGGAGGCAGCCACACCCACCCCATAATCACTGTGCACCGCAGAAAAGATAACTGGTCTCCACGAGGTCATCTGCCAGAAGTCAGTAAAATGACTTAATTGCCAACAAACATTTATATAACACCTCCTGGGACTCAGAGTTACTGTGATAGTCTATTGGGGTCACAAAGGTACCTGCCCAGGAGAGAGGAGCAGAGGATCCCAGGATTAAACAGGAAAGGACATGGCTCCCTGATCCCTCCCCATAGCAACTGGTCAGCCCTCCCAGGTGGGTGCTGGGCCCCCACCTTTGATCACTCATTCAGTTCCTTCTCCCTGCTGGACCCACTGAGAGCCCCCCTGAGCCCTCACACACACGCCATAGCCAGTTCAAACAGGTGCTCAAAATAGGTGTGTTGTATGAGTAAGTAAAGGCATAAATGGGGAGAAGGCAGGGATGCACAGGGTTTCGGGGGGCAGAGGTGGCAGGAAAATGGAGAGAAAGAAGAGGTCTTAATGGTCTGGGAACACCAATTTCGCTGTCAAGTGGTACCGCTGTGAGCCCTGAATCCCGGGAGAAGCAGCAGGATTTCTGAAGGTATCTGTGCACGGGAGGGGAGGAGCTGTGCTGGACCAGAGCACCAGGCAGAAGGAGGCCTGGAAGTGGGGAAACCCACCAGGAAGATACCAAAGACCCAAATTCAGGAGCAGCCAAAAAGGGTGAAGGACACAGGCAGCAGAAGAGGCTGACCACGTCACCATTCTCTCCATCACCACCATTTCACACAAGAAAGTCGGTCTGACCCAAATACTGAGGAGGGTCATAGTCTCGAAGCACAGGGCAGTTCCCCGGAGTGGTCACTCAGCATCTTTATCCTGCCTGCTGCTTGAAGAATGCAGGGTGTGAGGCTGTTTGAGGTTCAGTCTCCTTACGGTGAAAATGGGGATGGATAAAGGGTCACTGCTTTGATTCCCAGTCAGGGCACATTCTTCAGTTGCAGGCCAGTTCCCCAGTAGGGGGCCCGTGAGAGGCAACCATACATTGATGTTTCTCTCCCTCTCTTCCCCTCTCTGTAAAAATAAATAAATTCTTTTTAAAAAATGGAGATGGAATAACAGTGCTGCCCAAGACAGCCATTAGAAGAAAAAAAGTATTGTTATGTTTGGGTCATAGTAAGCACTTGGTCAATCTTGGCTATTGTTTATACTGTTTTCTCATTTTATTATGAATCAGTGAAAACCTGCCACGGTGCAGTCCTCAAGAACTGCTGATGTGTAGGGTGGGGGCTGCAGTCCACAGGGTTGGTGAGGCTCCCTCTGGAATTTTGTGTTGGGGAGTAGGGTATTGCCATTCACATGGTGGCCTGCATGAATGGTGCTTGAGAGCTGAGTGAGTGTGGATCATGTGCAAAAAGGCAAAATGAAAGTCATTCCAAAGCTTTGAACCCAAGGGCAATGATCCATTAAGAATTTCATCGTAAGCTGCCAATTTTTCACTGTTCTTACTACTTCAGTTGTATGATGTCTTTCCTGTTTTTTTTTTTCCTCCCAAAGTGGATTACTTTAAAATTACTCTGCGGAAAGTGATGTAGGGGAAGGTCACACCAAAAAATTTAAAACTTTCCACTTTCATTATTAACCTGTTCTCATTAACTCATCTTCAGGGTCACAACAGCGAATGTGGGGGCCCAGCTTGCTCTACAATCACCATTGCAGAGACAATGATTAGCCAGTGTGAGATGTGCGAAAATCCAGAGACTTCATGAGAATATGTGCCCCTTTCTGCAAAGCACCTTCTCTTAGGTTATTTCCTTATGTGGCTGGGCTAGTGGCTAAAGTGAGAAGTTTAACCTTATGAGTGACCTTGGATAAGTGGCTTCCCACTCAGTTCCAAGAGAAGCTGCCCAGGTGTTCCAGCAGCTGGAGGTCAACTATAGGGGGCCACACCCATCCAGCCCTGGAGAGACACTATGGCAAACACTTTTTCTGCCCAGCACAGAGCAGACCCATCAGGTATGAGTAG